ACTGCTGGCCGGCAGCATGCCGCTCTAGATGCCAGCATAGATGCAAAGTCCAGGATGGGGCGCGAGAGCCTTCCCACACATCCTTCCCGCGGCAGCTCTGCACCCAGCCAGCCCACAGCGCCCCGCGGCAAAGCCGCTTAGCCTCCGGACAGAGGCGGAGAAATGAACCGATGGCAGCTGATGGCATGCCTTCATCCCCTCGCCTCTCCGACCTCTGCTCCCCAGGCAAGCAGACCTGGGTCCAAACCCTGATGCCAGCACCTGCCAGCTGTGGGGACTGTGGAAAGCTCAGTTTCCCCGTCTGTAAAATGGGGGTAACAGTAGGGTTAAATAAGATCGCGTGCATCGAATGCACGGTGCAAAGTGGGTGCTTCCTAAAAGCTTGCCGTTATTTTTACAGTTACTTTTAGGATGATGAGCAACATCCCATATCTTCGTCACTTATTCTAAGCTTATATTCTCCCAGAACTTTGAGAGAGCTTGAGCCAACTAAGAAAAATACTCAGCCCAGATGTTGGCTATTGTGTAAGGTGGGCAGCTGCCTGGAGGACTCTGCTCTGGACTGGCTGATCTGCGGCTTTGGGGTCTGAAGGCAGTCCACACTTTTATTGGCAAAGCACCTCCAGTCATGTGATCTCATCACCCGCTTTTCCTTACGAGGAAACTGACTTGGCCACTGTATCCAGCTGTGCAGAGGGAGCTACACTCCCAGAACTTCGGGCTTGCAGCCCAGCAAAGGGGACAGACGCCTGGACAATCAGAGGACAGCACGGGGTGGGTGAGCCGAGTCCCCTCTGGGGACAGTGGGAGCACAGAGGAGGGAGGCCGGGGTCACCTGCCCACCGCACCTCCCACAGCCTGGGCAGATCGATACCCGACCTCTCGGGGGGTCTGGCACACACTGTCCCTTCCTCCCCACGCCTTCTCCTGTGGAACGCCATCCTGGTCCCATGGTGGCCACTGACAAACGTACCTGCATTCCTTGGAGTCCGAGATGTACGGCAATGAGCAGTCCTTGTACTGAGTGGCCATTCGATGTCCATCTGCACAGCAAGCCTCCATGAGGACGTCTGCACCCCCTGTGCAGGGAAAAGAACGGGGTGACTGGGGATGGGCGACGCCCCACTCACTCCGCACGAGGTCCCCTTTGATGCGCCATCGCCCACATGTGTCCAAGGGTTCCCTTCTCTCCCGCACCACCTGGAGGCCCTTAGGTCTGCACTCCAGCGTCAGGCTGGTCTGAAAGGGCCATGAGCACGTGCGGTCCTTTAGTCACTCAACAAACCCACACTGGACACTCACTGGACCCTGGGCTGAGATCGCACACCCCACTCCTCCCCAGAAAGGCCTGAAACCTCAGCTATCTCAAAGTAACTGACAACTCCATGCTCGCCCAGCTGACTCCCTGCTCTGGTCACACGGTGGACACTCAGACGAGGACCCTGCCCAGATGGCGGTCCCCGCCTTCACAGTCCAGAGGCGCTGCTGGCAGAGACGTCGCCGAGCTGCCACCCAGCCCAGCAGTCAGGGTCTCCAGGCCATGTGACCCCTCTCCTAGTGCAAGATGAAGGGGTTGAAGGTTTGGGGGACGGAAGAGGGTCATGCAGATGAGGAAACTGAGGTGGGCGATGGTTTCCTCCCTGGATTTGCCACAAGACGCGTCTTTGCTCACAGGCAGACAGAAGGCTCACGCGGGCCAGGAGCTGGCCCCAGGGCTGAGACGGAGCCCAGCCCCTCCAGGCTACTGCCCCAGCGGGCCCCTCGGCTTCCAGGAAGGAGAGGACCCCACCATGCCCCCAGGGAGGAGCAGCCAGGCACCAAGGTACCCAAGCATAGGGGTTCAGGTGGCTGCAAGCAGCCTGGGCAGAAGGCCACCTCATGGCAGGAAACTTCGAAGCTGTGCTTCGAGAAACCCATTTCCTCATTGGTGGCTGCCCAGTGCCCCATGGGGTAAATCCCAGCAGGCCTGGCCGCGTTTCTCGGCACTGGCGGTCACAGGTGTCCTGTCTGAGCTCATTCTCCTCCCAAGGCGAAGCCCTCGGGTGGCCCCAAGAGGTTCACTCTTGGGCTCAGCACGAGGCTGAGACCTAACACCAGCTTTGACTCCCCACTGTCAACCCCCACCGAGTGCCTCCGCCAACTGCATCCGGACCACGCTTTGTGTGCGGGAGGGGAGACCGCACTGCCACGGAGACCCCGGCGGTCAGTGCCCACGCGGCCAGGAGGGGGACCTCGCCCCGAACCAAATCCCGCCCTCACAAAGGCCAGAGCTTCAAGCCCCTCCGCGGGCTTCCGCCTCCACTCCCACCGGCTCTCCCAGGCAGAGAGAGTCCGAGGTGGTTTGGTTTGGGGTGACGGTCCACCCCACAGAGGCTGCTGGTCCATTGCTCCGGCCACCCACAGCAATCCCCTCTCCTCGTCCCCGACAACACCATTTGGTAAACGTGGGAGACTCGTCACAGCCTGGGGCTCAGATAAAACTCTGGAGTCACAGGCCCCGCAGCACCGAAGCAGGGGGGATGGCCAGCAGCGGGGAGAGCCAGTAGGGGGGACGGCCAGCAGGGGGGAGAGCCAGCAGCGACAGAGAACCTTGACACTCCCCTCAATCGTTCTTGGTACGGCTGATCTTAAAAGCATTCACAAAACACAGGACGTTACCTGTCACAGATAAAACGTGGCTTGTGGTTCACTCCTGGGATGATGGTCACCCAACCACGTGGCCTGACACGAAGGCTGATCTCCCCCACACAGCCAACCCTGGCTCCCCCTTTACCCCAACACTAGCAGGGCCCACTCAGCTCTCCTGCCTGTGGTCTCGCCCCTTTCGGCTTCTCCCGGCCTCTCTCCGGCCCTGGCCCACCCCCGGGCAGTCTTCCAGCCCCTTCCGCAGCCTGCCCTGGTGGCCCTCTGCCCCCACAGCACACGGAGTGCGTGCAGCACAACCCACGGTCTCCCAACGTTCGGTCTGCCTTGCCCCCCCAAACACAACTGTCTTGAGAGCTGAGCCTGTCCCCCGTCCTCTACACCCTGGCACGATGCCGGCACGCAGCAGAGCCGAGCGGTAAGAGCCTAAGCTTTGGAGTCAGTCTTGGGCTCCCATCCAGCTCTATGACCCTGGGCAGGTGACCCACCTCTTCGAGCCACAGCTTCCTGGGTGGTAAAATCGGGCTCGAAAGACCCTAGAGTTGCTAAGAAGATGGATAAAGCTCACGAAGTTCTGAGCACACTGTGCACTTCGGGGGGCAGGGGCCGGATTCTGTGTTAAGGAAGAAAGGGGATTTGCTTGCCGTTGTCCATGAGAGACGGGGCAGCCACAGCCCCATCTCGGGGTGCGGAATCCTCCACGATGGGCGAGCGGCAGCCCCAAAGCCTCCCTCCGACTGAGAAAGCAAGCTCCGCTGAGGCTCCGACTCCCGCGGCCTGCTCGGGGGCGAGAACTTTGCGCCCTGAGATGCAGAAGTGATTCTGGCTGGAGCCTTGAGCACCCCGAACCTTCTCCTCGGCAGGACAATAAAATGTGAAGTCCTCCGCAGAGCCCAGAAATTTGGAATGTCCCTGGAATGCTCCAAGCAGCCACAGAGCTGCAATGTGTGGAGAGCAGAGCTGTCTGGGGGCCGCGGCCGGGTGGGAACCCCCAGCTGCCCGGGGCAGCTCGCCCTCCTTGGGTGGGAGGTGCCCTATCGGCCGAAGGAGGGCCCACCAGGGACCACGGCCAGGCTGGGCGGTGACGAGGAGGCGGCTGGGAGGAGACCGGGCACAGCATCACGTCCTCATCGAAATAAACAGCCTGACACGTGCCGGGCCCCGCAGAGAAGGCCCCTCAAGTTCGTTTTTATGCCACTGTGCCAGGCACACGGCGTCACACAGTCAAGTAGAAGTGGCATCGTTTCCGGCCACTGCCCTCTCCCGGCATCCATGTCACTTTGGATTTTTCACTATGAGCGACCAACAGCTCTGGCTGAACGTCTTTATTCATTAGCATTTCTTCCTAAAGTCACAATTCGTTCCTTAGGCCAGAGCACGAGAGAGAGATGCCGAGTCAAAGGGAGACCATGCACCGGACACCCGCGGCGGGCTGCCGGCCCTGCTCAGAGCCTGGCCGAAGCTGTGACCGCGGCAGGATGACCAGGTGTTCGTGTCAGCCAGGCCCAGTGGCCAGCTGGAGCCGGGCTCACTGGCCAAAGCTCGCAGGCTCCCAGTCAAGGCTGAGGGGTCAACCTGGGGACGAGCTGAGAGCTCCGGCTTAAAGGCAAGAGGCCCCGTCTCCATCGTGCTCCTCCGGAGTGCTGGGGCCACCGCAGGGCGCAGTGGAGAAAGGTTTCGGCTTCGAGCAGACCTGGGCTTCAACACAGGGCCGCACTTGGCAGCTGGCCGCCCCCAGAGCGCGGTCTGACTCTGCGCCTCGGCTTCCTGCTCTGCTCCTCCTCCGTCTCCACTCGCCACTCTCGTCCAAACTGCACGCCTTGAGCGACCCGCCCCCAAACTGTCACATCGCTGACTACTGGTACGGGACCTGGACTTCATGCATCACTAAGAACGGAAGAAGTCGCACAGAGTGAAGTCGGCGAACGGTGACGTGAACATAAATGCTAAGGCGAACCCGACTCCACAGGACTATGCCTCCCCCACCCAAAACCAGTACCTGGCCAGGTCTGCATTGTTCAGCTGTCACTCAAAGCCCCAGACGCTCTCCTGCCTGGGCTCTGGTCCTTCTCTGTCCAGCCCCGTCACCTGCAGACAGTACCCAGTCCTGTCACGATGACCCTCAACACAGTTTCCCCGCCCTCGCCGCCCTTGCTAGTGACCAGCAAGAGTGGCCTGTGCTGGCTTCATACTTGTCCCCTCGTTACTGGGCGCTCACCGTGTGCCAGGCACAGCGCCGGACTCTCTGGGATCCTACTCGATTCTCACGAGAACCCAGTAAGGCCAGTTCATTAAGCTCCCCATTCTGCAGATAAGCAAACTCCAGCTCAGAGAGTTAAGTGACTAGCAGGAGGTCACACAGCCGGAGGGGCCAGTGAGCGGCAAAGGCAGGCCTCAGGCTTGGCTCCAGTGGCCTCCGAAGCTGTTCTAGTCTGCCTCCCCCTGAACTCTTTCCCCTCTCTGCACCCCTACAGCGCCCACCCACGCCCAGGACACTGTGAGGCTCAGCACCTATTAGTTAACTGGGGGCCTGATCCCCAAGACCACCCTTGAAATACTGAGGCTACTTGCAGAAGATCAGAGGGAGTGATCCCCAAGGGACCCCCCCCTTGGCTGGAACCCCCACAAAACGGAGGGCTGGACAGAATTTCAGCAAGAGCCGGGGACATGCTGGGGGCTCGGGTCTGAGACTGGACCTGCCACTCTCTTGGCCTTGATAGTGGCCTCCCACCCATCAGAGAAAAACTGAGCTGCAGGGAAAGGATGGGTCCGGTGGAGAGAGGGGACACCGCGTGGCACTCTGGTGTCGTGACTCAAGATGCCAACCTACGTGCCATCTGCAGCCGGTCGGAAGCGCGTCTCATCCAAGAAGAGATGTGTCAGTAACCTGCGTGCAGAGACGAGGTGCCGCCCCCCTCCGTCCGAGCGCTGCCTTGAGACCACACAGGGTCAGGCTCTCTGGAACCGACGAGCCCGTGACCGCCCCAGCCCCGTACACATCTCCGAGACACGTCCCAACGAGAGAGCAACAGCAAGAGTGGCCTGTGCTGGCTTCATACTTGTCCCCTTTGTCATAAAGGAGCCTTACTCTGGTGACGGAAATAACATCAGTTCGGAAAGGGAGGCGCGGTGGCCCAGGGAGTGTGGGGCGGGGTCCCCGGGCTGGGCTCCCCGCCTCGTGCCTGGGGGTTTGCCTTCATCAGGAAAGGACTCGGATGTTCTGCCAATTAATTCACTCGCCTTTTTCAATGGATATGGTTTTAACGCACTAATCCGGAGCCAGCAGACAGGGCTCATTTGGCAAGTTGTGTCTAAGAAGGTCTGTGAAGCAGTGTCGTGGTTGATAGTGTTTTACGTGTCAAGCTATGAGATTTCAAAAGAGAGCACATAAAACGTTAAGTAACAAAGAAATTTTGCAACCCAAATAAAAGATGATTTAAAAGTTAAAAACAAAAATCCCCAGGGGAATGGACCTCCTCCCCAAGTCTCGGGTGGCGGAAGTGGACGGTGGGACGGACGAGGATGCCAGGGAGCCTGATGCTCAGACTTGCCCTGGCTTTGGCCCCTGCATCGTGGGGGCACCTCTCAGTCATCTGAAAGCCAGCGTCCTGAGCTTTACGCTCCTTCACCAAAGCTGGGGACTGCTTGAGGCTCACGGAGACACTTCCCTCCTGCCTCCACTCCTGGGTATGTCAGTAGACGCCCCCCACCCTGTCTGCTCTTCCCTTCATACCCCGAAGCCAGGCCTTCTCAGTGTCGGCCCAGCTGCTCGCAGACTTCGGTGGGAAGAGCTGAGCCAAGTGACTGTCACCTTGGAGTGTGACAAACCCTTAGCAGAGGGGGCTGCTCATTCCTAGAGCCCAGGGCAGACCGGAGTGCCGAGGCCCCACTTCCCCTGGCCACACACAGGAGGAACTCAGCAGTGTCAGCACCAGAGAAAGAGGGAGGGGTTCCCAGGCGACGGCCCCACTCTTGGACACAGGTCATATATGGACAGACCCCCAGCAGTACCACCTCCAGAGGGCACACGACCAAAGAAGTCCCACGCCCAGACCTGCTGCATCGGAGTGGCCCTTGGTGACCTGGGCAAACGAGACCATCGCTGCCTCTTCCATCCCTGAGCCCTGGGAGCGATGCCAACATCTGTGATGTTACTTCAGGTGACCGCAGCCCACCCACAGCCACCACGTGCCCACCGGTCGCTCAGTGGTGTCACTGGGCTGCGGGTGCTCTTAGGAGCAGGGCCTCAGGCCGGTCTGGAATCTTCTCTCTCAGATTGTTTCCCTCTCTTCTGAGAAGAGGCTTCAATCCGGCAATTTAAATCTCTGGTTCTATCATCTGACTGTAGATTAGGTCCATGAGGCATAATGCCAAATATAAACGGAAAATAAACTCTTTTGCAAAACCTCGCTAGCCCGGACTCACGCACTGCAGGGGAAGGCAGCGTGGTGGGTTCAAACAGCCCGGGCACGGCCCCACCTTGCTAATAAACCTCACCGCACCCCCTTCTCACCTTCCGTGCCAGGGGCTGCTGACAGCGCCCGTTGGGCTGGGAAGACGGACGCGATAGCCCAGGCAAAGAGATTAAATCAGAACTTGACCATGGAAGAAACCAGAATCTCCAAAATAAAATAAAAACATTAGTTATCGCACCCATATGGGGAGAACATTGTTTTATAGGAATCGTACACTCTCGGAGGCTGACACAGATCAGATGGCTGACACCCCACCTGTCACCTCTCTTTAGGAAAGGGACACTCTTGCCTTAAGTCACTGGTGAGCAGGAAGATAGGGACTGCCTGGTTCACAGGCATCAGATGCCATTTGTCACCTGAGAGGGCAGCTAAAAGGAAATTTCTCAGGTGAACGAAGCCTTCACACGGATTATGGCGCGGACTGATGCCAGGCCATGTCACATGTTCTGAGGCTCACGGTCTCAGAAGCAGACGGTCTCGTCGAGTGGCAAAGATATGGACACGGTCTTTCTAAAACTACAGATGCTGGCAGTTGGAGGGGTTCTTTCTGCCCTGCTCCTCGAGTGGAAACTTCCAGAATGAACTTCTGCTGGCTATAAACATCACAGCGGCTCTGGGCAATGCCCGGTCAGCCGGGAGCAGCTCAGATGGAACAGCCAGGTTGCCTGTGGTGCGACAGGCCGAGGCCCTGGGGTCTGGTTACAACCCCACAGTCGAGCGTCCTTCCGCCTGGAGCAAGAGCAGGCCTCGGCTTCCTCGTCTGGAAAATCGGGGAGTCGAACACAGGCGTTCCAAACTCCACCCTGCACTGGCCTGACAAAATTTCCACTGGATTGCAACAAAACGAGGGATGAGAAAAATCACCACGGGAGCTTTTCCACAAAGCCAGCCTGACTCGCTTTAAAAGGCTTTCTGTTATTCCGAGACCTCATCCTTCCAGAATCCGGGGCATTCAAATGGCCTCTCTGCATAGGACATGGTGACCTACGAGGTGGTGGCTGGTTGGGTCTCTGTTTTATATTTTAACACCCTCATCTGGCAACGTACAAGGCTGACGGCTCTGTGCATAAATTACAAGGGGAGAAAGCTGGGTCACTGGAAGCGAGCTAGCAAGTCGTTTTTCCCGATTTCCTCTGCTCAGGCTCAAAAACACGGAGGCAGGTGTTTCAGAATGCGAATGGGATCCGGACGTGTCCTGGGGGTGCAGGCTTGCACCCCATTTGCTCCATTTGGCACTGTCGAAAGCTGCAGCAGAAAGCTGAAAAGGGGGCCCGAGACCCGCATGACTGGGAAGCCAGCAGGGGTCCCCCTGGGCCTCCCACTCTGCCTGCTATGCTAACTCATCTGCGCCAGGCCCTGAGCATGGGACGAGGTTGGCACCAGAGACAGCCCAGGGAGACGCCAGGTGTGTCGATGGGCTGGGTCCCTGTGCCTCTGCGTCCCTTGCGGGTCTAGCATGAGGACAGGCCCACACCCCGCTTCAAGGCCACCCGACGTCCCCAGGAGGCAGGGCAAGCTCGAGGCCGCTCTTACGGCTCCAGGCCCTGTCCCCAGCACCCGTCACAGAGAGACAGGTCTTGGATCGAACCAGCTAGAAGTAGGCAGCAAGACAGGATAGAAGGCAGTCCTGGGAAAGGGAGAAGCATCTTCCACATTGCTGCCTCCGGGCCGCTCTGGCCCAGGCAGTGACCTCCTATGACCAAGGCCAGTGGACATATGGACTGTCCCCAGCCCCTGATGTCTCTACAGAGTCCCCTCCTGCAGGACCCATCTCCTCTCACCTCTCTGGCCATGTGTCTACACCTGTCACGTGTCCTGGGCACCTGGCTTCAGAAGCTGGGACTCTGCGGGCCGGATGGTCCCAGGTCCACTCCTCGACTCGGCTAGCTCAGTCACATCCACACCAGCTCAAAGGTCCCTTCCTCCGGGAAGTCCTCCCAAACCGCACCCCAACGAACGTGGGCAGATGCATTTCCTTTCTTGCCCGGTCTCTCTGCACCCCAAACTTCCCAGCACTCAGCACGAATGGTTAACTGTGCTCAGTGTCTCAGGTCTGTGACAGGCTCTGTCTCACTCTGCACCCTGCTCTGTGCCTGGCCCAAGCAGGCACTCAATAAATGTCCGTGAAGGGGTGAACAGACATCTAACAGGCCATTTTCAGTGTCCACGCGGAATTCTAACTTTTCCCACCCCCGCCCCAACTGGCCTTCCCCAGCTTAGCAATCAGCAATCAGCATCCACCCAGTGCTTGAGCCAAAATAACAAGTCAGCCTGAATTATTCCTCCTGCCTCGCCAAGTCTCGTCTGGCCACGCTACCCCCAACCCCACTAGGTCTGCGCACTTCTCGCCAGCCTCCTGGTTCCCGCCCCGCCCAGGGCACCGCCAGCCTGAGACCCCGCAAGAGCCCCACACCGGCTCACTCTTTATCTCCCTGTAACCCATTTGCCACGCAGCTGCCCAGAGTGACTTCTAGAAATATAAGTCACGTAACGTCACTCTCCTGCTTAAGAGCCACCAGCAGCTTCCCAGAGCATTTGGGATGAAACTCACAGCCCACAGGCTCATTTCTAAGGCCCCGCCCTCCACGTCCTGACCCCTCGAAATTGTGAATGGGACCTTTCCTGGAATAAGGGTCTTTGGAGATGTAATTAAGTATCTCAAGATGAGATCATTATGGATTATCCAGGTGAGCCCTACATCCCATGACAAGCGTCTTTATAAAAGACACGCAGGAGAGAGAGCAGAGGGTAAAGGCCAGTGAAGATGGGCAGAGGCTAGAGTGACGTGGCCGGCAGCCCTGGAGCCCCCAGAAGCTGGGAGAGCCAGGGAGGACCTTGGCCTGGAGGGTCAGGGGGAGCATGGCCCTGCCTGCTCCCTGCCTTCTGCGAGAGACCGGATCTGTTGTTTCAAGGCACTTGATTTGCAGTCATTTTGTCCAGAGCCACAGGAAACACACAGTACGAAAGCTCCGTGAGGCAGGGACCCTGTCTGCCCCGTGCCTGGGCACTGCCTCCTCGCTGAGTGCTTGTCGAATAAATGGATGGAGAAACTGACACATGATGATATCCACCAGGGGCCAAGCCAGGCTCCCGGGAGACACTCAGGAAATGTCTGCTGAATAGAACTGAAAACAGCCTACAAATGACACCACTTAGTAACACAGTGACCGCGGACAGGCGACTTCCCCCTTCTGGGCCTCAGTTTCCCCATCTGTGTCAAGAAGGTGGACCAGCTAATCTTCAGTTGCCGTATCCAGGTAGATAGACCATTCCTCCCCAAGTTGTCCTCAGGTGCCCATCATAAAACTCAGGACCCATAGGTCGCCAAGGCTGGTTCTCTGCCACCCATCAGGAGAAGCAGGACCCTCGAGGGCCCAGGCCCCGTCTGTGCAGTGTCCAGTGTCCGCTCTGAGTGGCCTGGGGCCGGCAGTGCAGGCGGCAGCACATGTCATAAGCCCTTTGCTTAGGGGACAGAAGGCTCTGGGGCCCTGGCAGTCAGGAAAGAATGACCACTGCCCTCGCCCATTGGGTCCCCCAGGAAGTCAGGGACAAAGCCGGGCGGGAATCTTGTCTCCTGACTCTTGGCACTGGCCATATCGGCACAGCCCTCTGGCAGGGTCATTTGGCCAGACTGGGGGCAGCGTCCCAATGAATTAAGCAGGAACACAACCTAAACTTCCAGGGCGTCCTCTTCAGACGCAGGGCCTGCCCTTTCCTTCAGAGGTGCCAGGAAAGTGGCGACTCTCCCTCCCCCGTGGAAAGTTCCAGACCTCTCCCAGAGTCCTGAGCACAGAGCCAGCCATCCCCACATGCACTGCCTCCCCCTGCAGCCAGAGGAGCACTGCCAGCTGATGATCCCTTGCGGGGGCTCCAGTGCCCCACCCCAGATGGCAGCAAAGGCGGGGCGGGGGGGGCCTGACTCAGGCCACACCTGAGGGAGACGCAGGGCCGGGCCAGACTGTGGGCTCAACGCTCCAGCAAGCGGCCCTCCCGGCCCTCCAGGCAGCCCCTGGCCCCACCGTGCCTGCTGAGGGCTGGACGACTTGGGACATGTGACTTAACCTCCATGCCACACCTCATCTCTGCGCTCCCCTCTAGGCTGAATGGGGGGGGCACTGACTCAGACCACACCTGAGGGAGACGCAGGGCCGGGCCAGACTGTGGGCTCAACGCTCCAGCAAGCGGCCCTCCCGGCCCTCCAGGCAGCCCCTGGCCCCACCGTGCCTGCTGAGGGCTGGACGACTTGGGACATGTGACTTAACCTCCATGCCACACCTCATCTCTGCGCTCCCCTCTAGGCTGAAGGGTCCCTGATCCCAGGAAAGTCAACATAATGGGTGTCCCCACCTCTGTTCTGTTACATAGCCACATCTGAGACCTTCACAAGGAACCACACAGAGCCTGCACAAGCATTCATTAATGAAATTGTGACACGTTGCTGTTTTGCAAAAGAAACATTTTTTTCATATAAAATACACCGGCAAAATAATTGTGCACCCTCTTGGAACTGTTTCCATAAAACTTTACCTGCAAAGCCGCCCCGCTCACTACACCCTTTGCTCACAGAGCCCCGCCTTCAATGTGGTGGAGCGGGGAGGGGGGGGCGCTGCTGGAGCAGTTCCTAGGCACAGCTGTCCTCAGGAGGGCACAGAACTCCTGGAAGCTCCTGGGAGTCCCATGTTCTCCCTCACTATCTGGGCCTTTGCCCGTGCCATTCCCTCTGCTGGGAATACCCTCCCCACCCTCCTCCCAGCCCTACCCACAAACCTAGCCAACCCCTGCTCCTTCACACTCCAGTTTGCATGCTGCTTACTCCAGGAAGGCCTCCCTGACTCTGGAAGTTGGAGTCGGCTTGTGCTTGTTCATTTTCTCTGGATGTCCAGGGGGAGGGCCAGGTCTCTCCCCTGTAGTATCCCCGAGACTCAGCATGGTGTCTGGCACAGAGCTGGCCCTCAGTGAGTATTTGGTGATGGAATGCCTGAGGAGGCCAACTGAGGCCACTTTGCATGACCTTTACCAATATGGCTTGGGCACTCGCCAGCTCTTTCCCAGCTCCTGCCCTGGGGAAAGTCAGTATTACCAGGACCTTCAGAGCAATCTTGGGGAAGAGGATACTGTCCTCGCCCAGGACAGGGCACAATGCAAGTAACAGATAATAATAATTCAGCCACCGTCCTATATTCTCTCCCTCAGGCCTCAAGGAAACCTCGGAAGTGAGTTTTGTTATCTACGGGTTAGAAATGAGAAAACCATCATGGCGCCCATGGGCTTTTCCTGAGGGGTGACAGGCAGTTGTTTGCGGCCCCACAAAGGCTCATGGCACTTAGGACCCGATGAGTGAGACATGCTCTCCGCCCCCCACCCCCCAACACACACGCACACACACACACACTACAGTCATGCTGGGACAGCAAAGCAGCCCTGAGCTGGGGAGGGCCTCGGGTAGTGCCCGGCGGGGGGCACGACCTGGAGCTGTGGGGCTCACGGAAGAGGCCCTGGCACTGCCCTTAGAGACACCCCAAGTCTCGTCTTCATGCTCCAGCCGCCCCCACGGCCCATCTGGCCAACGCCACCGACTGGGAAACTTCCAGGAGCAGCGGGGAAGGCAAAGGCCACATGTTCGCAAGCCAAGTCCTCTCTCCCTTTGTTCTCTGTAATCAGTCTGAGCCCGAGGCCAAGAATGTCTTGGAGAAAACACAGCCCCCTGCTCTCCGCTCCCTCCCACCTCCCCGCCCCGTGGCTCCTCTGGGCTGTGACCCTTGGCATGGCATTTTGGTGGCAGAATCACCAAGCGTTTCAGCAGATTAGCTGAAGTCCTCACTGCGTGATGGCCTTCTCCCGATTACTCTAATATTGCTCTCCAGAGGGTGGTTCGGTAAGGGGGTGTAGCTCAGGGATAGAGCATTTGACTGCAGAGGTTGGGGACAGTGCCACCCGCGGCCTTATGGGGCTTCAGGGAACCGTACAGTTTCTGAGCTTGTAGCCGCAGAAAGAAACCAGTGTTCTAACTCTCCCAAACCATACCAAACCTTTCAGCCGCAGAAAGAAACCAAACAGTGTTCTAACTCTCCCAAACCATACCAAACCTTTTAGACTCAAAAGAGGGACCTCCCCAAAAGGAACAAAAGGCTGCGGGGCGAGGCTGTGGGGGGGACCGTTCTCACAGGACACCTGGGGTCTCAGGCTCAGGAGAGGTCAACTACGCCTTCTCTCCTGGCCTCAGTTTCCTCGTCTGTAAAATACAGGGGATCTCTGGGGCCCCTTCCATTTCCAACGGGAGAGTCTTGTGTGACCCTCGATCCGAGACCCCCTCTGGACTTTCACCCCAGTCAGCAGTCACCTGAATGCCCGCCTGACCAGCTCCTGCCCGAGGACCATCTCCTCCGAGAAGCCTCCTGTGATCCCTGGGGGCGGGGTGGCTGAGCCCTGCACCTCCCCAACGCCATCTCCCCCATGAGATGTCCCCCAGGACGTGCCTGGAATGGAGGTGGAGGTCGTTGGCAGAGCCCCCGCCCACCCTTCGGCCTCTGCTTGCACCCCCTGGGCAGCACTGGCTGGGACAAGTGACCTTTTAACTCAGGATGAGGGTGGTCACCTGAGAGTTAAAAACTCAGCTAAGCCAGAGATAAAGAATCTGGGATTCCAAGGGTGATCTAGTGACCTTCTGACCAAGTCGGAGGGTGAGGTCACCAGAGAGTTAAAAGGAATTCAACTAAGCCACAGATGTAGAGTCTGGGACTCTGCGGGTGGCCAGGGCCATTGTCTGGGCCTGGCCCCAGGGGCAACAAAGCTACCAGGAAGGCAGTCCTGGCTAATGATTGATAAGCCGCGGGTCAGCAGAGAGGTCAGAGGGCATGGCTTTGATCCTCAGGGCCTCCAGGTCACCCCCCAGGAGCTAGGCCTTGAGGATTCTGGGAGAAAGAAGGGCACGGCTGGGTGCCTGCCACCCCCAAGCTGTCAGTCCTGGGGCAGGCCCGGTGGGTCTGCGGATGGAGATCATCCCGCTTGCCCGGGGTGGGATTGGGAGTGGCCTGGCCCGCAGCCCCAGCGGAGAAGGGCGCCAGGCCGAACCTCTGTCTCCTGGCTTCTGCGTCCCAGGGGAGCAGGCCGTGGTTTCCCCACACACAGCGACCCCCCCTGAACAGCTCCGCGGGCTCCCCTCCTCTCGGATTTCTTCGGGTCCACTCCCGCCCCGTCACTGGTTTTGTCTCTCGGGCAGATTGCTGTTCCCCAGTCTGCTTTCTCGTCGGCAAGCTGGACACAGCAGCTCCTATCTCGGGGTGCCTAAAGATATGCCCTGGGCGCTCTTGACGCAAAGAGCGGGTCACAAGGGGGCTCGCCAATCCCGCACTCGGCCGCGGCGGGGTGCGTGGGCGCCGGGGTGGGCACACTGGGTGTGAGGTCCTGCAGTGGGAGCTGTTTGAGGGGGATCCTAAAACAGGCCCCGAACACCAGCGAGGTGATAGGACCCGAGCTCGGAGTGGGGGGAGGGGGAGGGCACGTCGCCGGGGCCTCGGCGGCCGCGGGGCGCAGCGCGGGA